AAAAAAAACAGTCTGTTCAGATACTCAAAATTTACACTTATTTTACAAATATCATCTTTTTGTTAAGAAACATTTAAATTAGTTAATCTCTTGATCGGCGAATGTTGATGTCAAAGACGTAGATCTAGTCATTACAATTTAAAACTCTGTTAAACCTATTTCTATAACAAATAATCATGGAAGATTTGCAACGCAAAAATCCAAGCTCATTCCTCTCAAAAAGTCATGATAGATTCATAGCCCTGAGATAGGTTTTCAAACCTATTAAAAACTTCTAGTAAGCAGCATTTGCAGTTTGAATTGAATAACTGGCAGTGCATAGCAACAAATAAACTTCGATCTGGGCAGCATTATGCAACAGGCTAATTTATTCTTGACAATTTATAAACACTTTGATGACATCTCCTTTTTGCGCTCGTTCAAATGCTTCTACGGCCTCTTCGAGCTTGAATTGAGCTCGCGTAATTCCAGACAGGTCAATTCTTCTCGATGCGATAAGATTCAGTGCGGTTGGATAACTAAATCAAAAGTTATTAGCGGATTATCGTGGGTGTTAAGGTGATTACACACCAGTTTGCATATCTGAAAACGCCTCTGATGTCTACTTCCCTGAGACAGCTATCTATGATGGGCAATTCAGTTCTTGGTGCGCCAAGCCCAACCATAACGATAACTCCTCCAGAACGAGTGGTCTAAATACGCTGTAAAGTTTTAAAGAAAAGATTTCTTCGGAAGTACCAGAATAGCTGATTCCATGCAGGTCTGCGCGCCAGTGCACTCAATGGTCGCATCAGGTTCTCCTTGCAAGCAGTCCATCACTGCTTTACGAACTTCAATCACTGACATATCCCTATAAAATGAAACTATTTATTTCAACTCAGTCGTTCAGGAATCTGAAAGGTCATTTTCTTACTTAACGCAGATGGTATAATCAGCTCCTAGATTCTTCGCAAGATCTAATCGATTTGAATCCAAGTCCGTGATAGCGACCTTAGCGGCGCCCATCGCTTTTGCCGTCATCATACATAAAGTTCCTATCGGCCCTAAATCTTTTCTCTTTAATTACTAAAGGCTTTCAATTGTCGATATAGGCGCACCTGCTCCTTGCACCAAAACACTTTGCCCAATCTGTATATTTGCCCGACGACAGGCATGAACACCCACGGATAATGGCTCTAGAAGTGCAGCTTCTTCAAAAGTGACATTGTCGGGAATTCTGAAAACGTGAATTATGAATAAATTTGATGGCGTAACAGGAATTGAAGTCCTAGGAATGGTAAGCTAATATCAAAGCGGACGCCTAAGCTTTTTTAAAATGAAGCATAAATTATAGCTTATATTTTGTTTTTATTTTTGTTTTTATACAGCGTTCACACGAATCCTTAGCAAAAACTCCAGCGGTGGTAAGATGACAAGTGTAATGTACTTTCAATGTGAAATTCGCTGAAGGTGGTGAGCAGATCATAGAAAAAAACCCAAGTTTCTTAATACATTAGGTCTCCTCAGACGACTAAAGCAACTACCCATCCTTTTCCAATGTTCTCTACGTGATTTAATTTTGTTGTTTAATGGATTTACCTTTTTCTAAGCTCTGCTTGAACTATACTCATGCACATTTCGGTCTTTGTGAATAGTTCAAATTTATCTCCTGTTTTCATTTTTTGCTAAATGCTAAATATATCGAACGTCTTACTGACTACTAAATAGCTCTCTGATTAATGATTTTTAGCAAACAAATGAGTTGGATGAATTGAGTAAACAACTACAGTGCAACGGTTTTTTAGAAGAATTTCATTCAATCCGCGTTCTAAAAACATTCTTTTTTTTACTTTTTATTACAACTAGAAGCTTTTAGCTTTTTATTACAACTAGAAGCTAACAGCTTTCCCACTCATATCATCATATCCCACTCACTAAACTTATGTAAAATAGCCCAAAAATTGTAAGATGGGGAAATAGCGAAACAAAAAATCCAATACCCTACGATATGAGTGACCATGATAATGAAAAATTCTTACTTGAAGCAAAAATCAGCATCGTGGACCACATATCTCGTCAACGATCCATGGACAGGAGGTGTAGCAAAAAACTGCATCTCAAGACAGAGGTTATATCTACCAGTCTGAAAGTAGTTCGAATTTCTTTAAATAAGCATCATTTACCACTATGAAGTTTCCTATGAACGTCTTGACAAAAATTATATAAGTAGTGATACAAAGCAAGAAAGATCACGGCTTTCTAGAGGATGTGATACAAAGGCTGCAAAAAATCTTCTTAGCGTTCCATCAAAGA